CATTCCCATCATCCTGCTCCTCCTCCGTCTCCTCCTACCCCTCCTCCTCCTCCTCCTCCTCCTCCTCCTCCTCCTCCTCCTCCTCCCCGTCATCCTCTTCCTCCTCCCCTTCCTCCTCCTCCATCATCATAATTAACATCATCAGCATCATCTTCAGCACCATCATCATCATCATCAGCAGCAGGGACATCATCATCATAATCATCAGCAGTAGCAGCAGCAGCATCAGCATCATCATCATCATCATCATCATCATCATCATCATCATCATCATCATCATCATCATCATCATCATCATCATCATCATCATCATCGCATCATCACCACCACCACCGTAATCAGCATCAGCATCATCATAATCATCATCATCATCATCATCAGCAGCAGCAGCAGCATCAGCATCACCAATATTCGTATCATCATCACCACCACGATCATCATCATCAGCAGCATCATCATCAGCGTCAGCATCATCAGCATGATCCATCATCATCAGCAGCATCAGCATCATCAGCATCATCACCATCGTCAGCATCATCATCATCAGCAGCATCAGCATCAGCATCATCATCATCATAATCACGATCAGCATCATCATCAGCAACAGCATCAGCAGCATCCTCACCACCAGCACATTCACCATCATCATCACCATCAGCAGCACCATCAGCACTATCATCACCAGCATCATCAGCAGTATAATCATCATCATACACACAGCAACATCAACAACATCATCATCAGCAGCACCAGCATCATCATCATCAGCATCATTATCACCATCATCATCATCAGCTGCAGCAGGGACATCATCATCACAATCATCAGCAGTAGCAGCAGCGGCATCATCATCATCATCGCATCATCACCACCACCACCACCATCATCAGCATCATCATAATCATCATCATCATCATCATCATCATCAGCAGCAGCAGCATCAGCATCACCAATATTCGTATCATCATCACCACCACGATCATCATCATCAGCAGCAGCATCATCATCAGCGTCAGCATCATCAGCATGATCCATCATCATCAGCAGCAGCTGCAACATCATTATCATCAGCAGCATCAGCATCATCATCATCATCATCAGCATCAGCATCAGCATCATCATCATCATCATCATCATCATAATCACGATCAGCATCATCATCAGCAACAGCATCAGCAGCATCATCACCACCAGCACATTCACCATCATCATCACCATCAGCAGCACCATCAGCACTATCATCACCAGCATCATCAGCAGTATAATCATCATACACACAGCAACATCAACAACATCATCAGCAGCACCAGCATCATCATCAGCATATTATCACCATCATCATCGTAATCATCATTATAGTCGTTATCATCATCACCATCATCAGTATCATCATCATCATCATCATCATCATCATCACCAGCATCATCATCATCATCATCTCATCATCATCATCATCATCATCAGCAGCAGCAGCATCATCATCATCGTCATCAGCATCATCAGCATAATCATCATAAGCATCGTTGCCAGCAGCAGCAACAGCATCATCAGCAGCAGCATTATCATCGTCATCATCAACATCAGCATCCTCATCATCATCGTCATCTTCATCGTCATTTTTATCATTATCGTAGTCGTCGTCGTCATCATCATGATTATCACCATGATTATCATAATCATCACCATCATCAGTAGCATCATCGTCATTGTCATCGTCATCCTCATCGTCATCGTCATCGTCGTCGTTATTTTCGTTATCGTCGTTATCGTCGTCCTTGTCGTCATCATGATGATCATGACCAGGATCGTGATAATCACTATCATCATCAGCAACAGCACCATCTTCATCCTTTTACTCTCTCGAAGCACATGCAGCCACGTCCGAAGATTACGAACCTAGGGAGCAAAACAAATGGCGATACTGCTACTCCCCGGATCTCTCCAGGGGCACCTTCTGGTAAGGATTTCGAGAAGCTACCAGCCGTGGCGACGAGAACTCTCCTGGTCGAGCAGCGGTATCACTAACTTCCCCTCCTCCAAAAACCCCGAGCCGACCGAACTGAGCCCAACCCCAGGGGCAACCGACCGAACCGAGCCGACCGAGCATTCGAAAACCGCGAACCTGGGAAACCACCGAGAGCCCACGAAAACATCCGAAAACCTCGACCCTCGACGACGGCCCTCGGCGACGACGACGACGATGGCGACGACGACGACGACGAAGAAGACGCTCTCCGACGTCGACGATGACCTTGGCGACGGCCTCGCCGACAACGACGGCGACCCCGTCGACGTCGACCTCGACGACGACCTCGCCCACGACGACGACGACGACGACGGCGACGACGACGACGACGACGACCTCGTCGTCGTCCGCAGCAGGGGGCGGGGGGGGCTGGGACGGCGCCGCCGCAGGGGGGGGGCGACCTGCGCCTCGCCGGGGCTGGCCCACGGGCTCGGGGCGACGGGCGCCTGGCGGCCGGCGTCGCCGCCGCCTCGGCGTCGGATCGTCGCCCTGGCGCCGCGCACAGCCGACGCCCGGGCCGGCGCCAGACGTCAGCCTGACGGGTGCGGCCTCGTCGGGACGGGAACGATCTCACGACAGGAGTGGCTCGGGATGCGCTTCGGGAGGTCCAGAGCAGCAGGCGGCCCTCGTCTCCGCAGACCCCTGTGGAAGATCAGGACATCCTAAAGATCCTGGAGATCCTGGAACGTGTCATTCTCGTGACCCTCTGCTCCCCCGACTCCTGGCAGCCGTTCCGAGCTTGCCTTCAGTCGGGCGTGCCCCCTACAGGGGGCTTTTCGACGAAAACTAAAAAAGACCCCAAAAATAATCAAAAAATGATCCAAAAATACTCAGGGGAGTATTCTTTGGAATATTTGTTTACCTTTTGGGGGCATTTTGGGGGGGTATTTTTTATCTTTCGTCGAAAATTCCCCGGTAGGGGGACAGGCCCGACTGAAAGCTTGCCAGAGCCGCATTTGAAGGGGCCCCAGGACACACAAATAAATACACACAAATAAAAATATGCCCCATATTTTCCTATATTTTCTAGGTTTTTGTCTTCCCCCCACTTCCCATATTTTCCCATATTTTCCTGGGGGTCGAAGATTAATTGTGTCTGTGTGTTTCTTTCCCTCCTGAGCATTGTGCCGAGGAACACAGGCTGCGCACCTCGGCCACGGCGAGCACGCGGCCGGCGCCCTGCCAGCCGCCGCCCGCGGGAGGGCTGCGCGGCTTGCCGCCGAGCCCGCAAGGACGGAGGGAGTCCTTGGGCGGCGAGCGAGGGCAGGAGAGCCCAGAATCGAATCGATAAATCGGATCGGCAATCGACATGAATCGGATCGGCGGAAATCGGCAGCCGAATCGGGAAAAGTCGGATCGGCGGAAATCGGCAGGCTAGTATGCCTCCAATAAGGAATCGGAACCCAGATCGGTATCCCAAGTCGAATCGAGTCGGAATCGGAATCCATCGAAATCGAATCCAATCGAATCGGAAGAATCGAAGCGAGCCCTGAGCGAGGGGGGCAAGTGAGAAGAAGAAGGCCTCCTCTGGAGGCTCGGCAGTGCCTCGGCCGTCTGAGAAGTTTGCTCCGCCTTCCCCGACGAGCAAAAAAAAAAAAACAGAGCTCGGAAGGCTGGAGGGCTTCTGGAAAGTCCCGTCGCCTTCTGAGAAAGCCTTCTCCTTCTCACTTCCCCGCTCGCTCGCCGCCGAGTCCTGGCCTCCTCCTCCCGTCGCGACAGACCGTGGAAGGGGCAAGCAACGCTGCGACCAAACAGGCGGCGTAGAATCTCTGGGTTTTAAGAGGCCTGGGGGGCCTCTCAGAGGGTAAGGGCCTTCTGAGACTGGCCTGTGGGTGTCAAGCCGGGGGGGGGCCTCTGAGACGCCACCTGGGCGGCGACGAAAAAAAGCGGGTCTTCCTCGAGATGACGTAGCGAGCTTACGCCGCGTGGCTTGCGCAAGCCGCCAGCACGGCAAGCTGCATTGGAGACGAAGGCGCTTATGCGCGACCTTACGCGGGCAACTTACGCGCCAATGTCGGCGCAGACGAGCCCGTTTTTTTGCGTCGCCCACCTGCATTCTTAGAAGCCCAGACTGCGAAGCTCTGACATCGCCCAGACCGCGAAGCACGAATAACTTCGCACCCTCCTGGTGGCCCTAGCCACCTGCCTTCGTAGAAGCACCCCCGCCTTCGCAAAAAAGTCCACCGCTCCACGCCCTCTGCACGCGCCGCCAGGTCGCCGCGACCACGTCAGGGCAGGCAAGAATCTGGAGTTAGAGAAACAGGTGCCGAGCGAGGATCGAGGTTCTTGGAAGTTCTTCCCGGCGGCGAGCCCAGGGGGGAAGAAAGAAGTAGAAGACCCTCTCAGAAGGCGGCGGGACTTCTCAGAAGCCCTCCGGACTTCTGAGAAGTTGTCTGTGCCTTCGGGAAGGCTGAGGAAATTTCTCGCAAGGCCCGAGGCCTGCCGAGCCTTCTGAGAAGGCCCGCTCCTTCTCACTTTCCCCCCCCCGCCCGGGCGCGCCGCCGAGTCGCCACGGCTGGATTCCCCTCGAAATTCACGAGACGTGCCCCAGGACAGGTCGAAGGTACGATTGTCGAACCCCGACGATCCAGAAAGGACGGCATGGAGGACACGGGCTCTGGAAGTGGTTCGCCGTTTGCGGGCCCTCCAGGCCACCCACAGGCCCTGGGGCCGTCAAAAGAGCAGAAGAAAGTGGTGGTCCACGAGAGCGAGAAGCCCCAACAAATTAGGCCAGACTCTGCTGCGTCGTCGAAACAGTGGCAGCATCGGCATTTCTGGACCAAGACACTGAAACCTTGGAGCGACCTGCTAGGCCCAGTGCTCGCTGGGCCTCCCGCTGCTCCTCCCCCTCCTCCTCCTTCTCCTCCTCCTCCTCCTCCTCCTCCTCCTCCTCCGCCCGCCCGCCCGCCCGCCCGCCCGCCCGCCCGCCCGCCCGCCCGCCCGCCCGCCCGCCCGCCCGCCCGTCCCCAGGCAG